GTTACCATTTTTTTTGCGTATAACATCTGTGGTATGTGAACTGTCAATAGATATTTGCTATATAAGAGCATTTCTTCGGTGAAAGTCATTGGATGGAAGTTTTGAATTTAGATGAGATTTCAGAATATTAGAAAATAAGTAGCATACATTCTGGAGTTTATTTTTCGATCAACATACATGAATAATAAACATCTGCAAACATACATGCACAGAATCTAAAGAGTTTTGACCTATGTTGTTTCCTCTTTTTACACCGTATATATAGTGTAATTGTGATTGAGAACAGAAAAAATTCTTTTAACAATAAAATTATGCACATGGGAAAACATTTTGTTCTCTTCGCTTCTATTTTGATAGTCTCATGTAGAACACTGTTTTTAACTGTAAAAGTACGATGATCATTTGTATTTACCGTTATCAGCTGACCGTAAAAATGACTAGTTTCAGCATTTAAAATTTCGGTATTAATGTTCATCTTCTCTCCTGAACGATCACTAGAAAAATGATTGGAAAAAATACTCGTTTCACTTACTTATCTTATTAATGATAAAAAGTACTATTGATATAAATTATTTTAAATACATTTTCTATTTTAAGTATAATATTTTAAAAGCCGTTCTAAATGGACCTAATGCAAGCTCGTCATGGTGGAGTTCCATTTCAATCACACGATAAAACACCACTTTCCCATCTCCTTGAGATAGCCGTTCACAAAACTTATCATGATTTGATCACAACAACTGATTTGTAAGTTCATCATGAATTTTTACAAGACTTCAAATTATATTTTGAACTATTTTAGAATGGCACGAAAACCTGAAGTAGAACGGTATGTAATTGCTTTTTAAAACATAATTGACTATCTCACTTTTTATCTATTTATTTCAATTTAAGAAAAATTGATATTGTTATGTTTGCATCTCGTACACGTCAATTATTTATACGAATATTAGCCGTTGTTAAATGGGCAAGGTCAGCTAATAAAATGTATCTTTGTGAGGCATGTATTTTTTTGTTGAAAAAATTGATTTTACAATAATAAACATTATTTTATTTTTTAGGTTATTGACAATTTTCTAGAATATCGGGCAAAATTAATTCGAGAAACATCAGATACACTTGCAGAATTGGCACGAGAAAAACTCATTGGTGCCAGGTAATTTCAACTAAACAGAGTTTTTAAAAATGTTGTTAACATCATAGTTAAGGTGCGGGTAATTCAAACTTCAAGCAGATTTTAGATTTTTTTGAAACACATACCGTTCGATAGAGCTTGAATAGCTCTACAAGGATATCGCCTTTAAAAGTTTTTTCGAGCTTTCCTTCCAGGAGAAAACCT